TCAAGGAATGTTAAGAAATAGAAGTTTTTAAAAACTGCAATCCCGTGAGACCTAGGAAAGCAGTATGAACATACGTATCTATGAGAGAGGTCACTGGGCTTGGCAAACGGAGGTCATACAGAAATTATTTTCCAAATGCAGTTTATATGGAAAGTGTTTAATGTTTATTACATATACAGAGGTATTTTCTATGAATTAATTTTACTACAACTTTAAGATAATAGATTTATTCCCAAATTCTGATATTCTACTGTGAAAGGGATAGACAGAGTACAGAAATGTTTCACAAAGTAACCTGGATAAATTAGAGTAATAAATGGATATGGCTGCAGAGTTTTATGGATTTTTTGTGGTTTTTTTTGGAAAAAGTCCCAATTAACAATCTCTTTTTTTGTAGAATCTTTGCTATTCACCGTTAAGTTCTCAGAGATTTTTTCAATTAATTCTGTATTTACAAAGAACTTTTAGTACTCTAAAGTACACTTTACTTACCAAATACTTTTCATGCCTTACTTATTGTCTTACTTATTGACTTACTTTACTTATTGTCTTCACAACTTTGCATCCTATGAGATAACTATTATTTGTCATTTTTAGAAATGAGGAAACTGAAATGCAAAAAGATTAAGTAATTCACTAAAGTTCATCCAGTTAATTAGTTTCAAAACTAAGATAAGAGCCAAGCAATTAAGTAGATATAATTACTCTGAATAATGCATAAGACCTCTAATTGTAGAAGTTAAATCACTAAAAGAACCTGGTGGCATAGTCTGTTATTGGCTCACTTTTTTTCAAAATCATGAGGCTGTGAAAACAGATAAAATGACAAAAGGTCCCACTTTGAGTCATAGCTATATACGTTACTGTTTGATATATTCCCTCTTTTGATAAATCAGTTTGATTTTTTAATAGCATTTCACTTTCTCACGATATTCAGTCCACAAATGGCCACTTATAAAAAGCATGCCAAAAATCCAAGACAATTATGTGATCTTGAATAATAACACAATTTAAGTATAGAATGGATAATTTAATGGGCTGTTCATGGCTGACATCTTTAAGTTAGTTATACATTGTTAATTAAAATTAATGCTTGACAACTAACTTACTAGAACCTTGGCAATAAATATACTTGATATTTGCTATCAAGCATAGATTATAATAAATTTGTGTCATATGGATCTGTCTTCATGTATATTTCTATTATTACAGGGCAAAATCAGCCTCCTTTAAATGGAAGTTATTGAAAAAAAACAGAAAACATAGCTAGAGTTACTTCAATAATTTTATTTTTGAACAATTTTAGATTTACATGAAAAATGTTAAGATAGTACAGAGAGTTCCCACTATCCCACACCCAGTTTCCTCTATTATTAACATTTCATATGAATGCATGATAAATCATAGTTGACTGAAGTCCACACTTGACTCAGTTTCCCTTGGTTTTTACCCGCCATCTTTGTTCCGTCTCAGGACTTCTTCCAGGACGCTGAGTTACTTTTAGTAGCCATGTCTCCTTAGGCTCCTCTTGGCTGAGGCAGTTTCTCAGACTTTCCTCAACTTTGATGATTTTGACGATTTTGTAGATTCCTGAGATTTGCTTTATGTTTTCTCATAATGAGACTGGGCCTATGAGTTTTGGGGAGGAAGACCACAAAGCGAAACTGCTACTTCATCACATCACATTATATCAAAGGCACCTGCGTTCAAAATGACTTATGACTATTGATGTTGACCTTGATCACTGGGCTAAGGTAGTGGTTGTCAGTTTCTATACTCTAAAGCTACTTTTTCTTTCTTTCCATAGTGACCTTTGGAAAGAAGTGCACAGTTCCCACCTAACAAGTAGACACCTATGTACATTTTACCTGTAAATAAAATGGAATTTATAATTTTAAGAGCATGCACCATTTAAAAAATAAAATTATGAAAGTCCTGATGAGTTTTGGCCTTTGGAAACTTTGCACAGTTAAGATCCTAATCTTGAAATCTTTGTAAGGATACCTTTGTGTTACCAAAGTTTCCCAGTTTTCCAGATTATTTGTTTGGCAAGTCTTCATTATTTGCCAGGCACTATTCTGGATTCTAGGAATATAAATCTGAAACATCATCTTTGCCCTCAAGATTGCCCATCCTAAAGATTCCACATCCTGAAAGCCAACACTTTCCTCATTTCTCTTGCAATATACTGGAGTACAGTATTTGCAAATTCAAATATCTTTTAAAACTAGCCTCAAATTTCCACTTACATCATATTCAATGTTGAAGTGCTGCAAACTTTTCCTTTAAGATTAGGAACAAGGCAAATGTGCCCACGACCAACACTTCTATTCAACATAATACCAGAAGTCCTAGCTAGAACAATCAGGTAAGGAAAAGAAATAAAAACATCTGAACCAGAAATGAAGAAGTAAAATTGTCTGTTTTTACAGATGTCATGATCTTATGTATAGAAAATCCTAAAGACCCCACCAGAAAACAGACCTACTAAACGAATACAATAAAATGGCATGACTGAAAACCAATATACAAAAATCAGTTGTGTTTCTCTACACTAACAAGAAATTACTTGAACAAGAAGTAAAAACAAATTTACAAGTGTCAAAAATAATAAAACACTTAGAAATAAACTTAACCAAATAAGTAAAAGATCTGTACATTGAAAACTATACAACATTGATGAAAGAGATTGAAGAAGACAGAAACAAATGTAAAAATATCCATGTTCAAGATTTGGGAAAATTAATATTGTTTAAAAATGTCCACACTACTTAAAATAATCTGTACATTCAATGCAATCCTATCATGCTTTCAATGGTATCTTCAAAAGAAATAGGAAAAGTATTTTCAAATTCACATGGAATCACAAAAGACCTTAATAGCGAAAGCAATTCTATGAAAAAAGAACAAAGCTGAAGGTATCACACTTCCTGATTTAAAACTATATTACAAAGCTATAGTAATCAAAACAATATGGTATGGGATTCCCCCTTTGCACTTTTGGTGGGATTATAAATTGGGACAGCCAGTATGGAAAACGATATGGAGTTTCCTCAAAAAAATTAAAAATAGAATTACCACATGATCTAGTAATCCCACTCTGGCTATGTTCTGAAAGAAACGTAATCACTATCTTGAAGAAATATATGAACCCCTGCATTTATAGCAGCATCATTTACAACAGCCAAGACATGAAAACAACCTAAGTACCCACCGATAGACAAATATAAGAAATTATTTTATAAATAATTTCTGTTTTTTATTTAAAAACCAGAAATTATTTATAAAATATTGTGTATTTATTTTTACAAGTTTAAACTTTACTCACCTTCAAAGTACTCTTCATTTGATGCAATACACCTATCAAGGTGTGTTTTCCACTCCTCAAAACAGTTTTTGAACTCATCAATTTTTATGCTTTTTCAGTGTTTCTGCCATCTTTTCCCTTTCATATCAGCAAAATGTTTCCTTTTGAGGACTTTTTTCATCTGAGAAAACAAACAAAAAAATAGCTCATGATGAAATAGGGTGAATAGGGAGGGTGGGGTAGAGGGGTCATGCTGTTTTTGGTCAAAAACTGCTGAACACTCAGCGCTGTGTGCGCAGGTGCACTCATAAATCACCCATCATGAAATTGGCAAACACACTGAAAGATCCTTCAAAAAAATTCACTGAAGCCCAATGCAGCCCCTCACAACAACACCAGCTGGTGCACTAATACACATAGGTTCCTAAAACACTCACCTAGCAGTGGAAGCCTGTACTATTGTGTTGGCCAAAAAGTTCTTTTCATTTACTCTGTAAGATGGCTCCTGTAGTGCTTAGTTGTCCTTAACTTCATTTGAAACAATTTTGTTAGATTGTATTGTGCAGCTGTCATATCAGCATGAACTTAAAAATAACATCGAAATGGGTGAATTTTTTGTGTAGCCATTTTAATACTGAAGATGAAAGAAAATACACAACATTTTTGGCATATTATGCTTTATTATTTCAAGAAAGGCAAAAATGCAACTGAAACACACAAAAAAGATCTGCGCAGTGTATGGAGAAGGCGCTGTGACTGATCAAATATGTTAAATGTGATTTGTGTAGTTTCCTGATATTAGTGACATTTTGGCCAAATAATTCTTTGCTGTGGGACTGTCTTATGCACTGGAAGATGGTTAGCAGGACCCCTTTTACTAGAAGCCAATAGCAGGAGATGGCCAACATACTCAAAATATCCAAATCAATAAAGTTATTCACAAAATAAAAAATGTGTCTTGTTTTATGGAAAAAAAAAACATAACAGACTTTTTGGCCAACCCAATACTAGTGGCTCACCTTCCAGAAAATAATTCTGTTTTATCAGGTCCCCCTTGTAGATAAAGATGTGGTATACACATATGCTGAAATATTTATTATTCAGCAATAAAAACAAAGGAAATTTTGCCTTTTGAGATGACATAGATGAAACTTGAGGACATTATGCAAAGTGATACATGGTAAGTCAGAGAGAGAAAGAAAAATCCTGAATGATCTTACTTAACTGTGAAATCTAAAGAAAAAAGAATCATAGAGACAGACTAGATGGGTGGTTTGCAGAGGCAGGAGATGGGGGAGGGGGAGATGGGTGACGCTGGTCAGAGGGGACAAACCCAGTTATGAGGTAAGTCCTGGGGTGTAATGAATAGCAAGGACCACAGCTAACAATATCCTATATTACAAAGTTGCTAAAGGAATAGATTTAAAAAGTTCTCGCTATCCACACAAATTGTAACTATATGGTGATAGATATGGTAACTAACTTTATTGTGGTAAACATGTAGAACATATACATATACAGGATTGCTATATTGTACACCTTAAAGTTATACCATGTTATATATCCACTATATCTCAATAATTCTGAGGAAAAAACTATCCTCATTTTCAAATATATGGTATGATGAGTTATTACTGAGAAAAAGAATTATCATCCCTCCCTCTCATGTTAAAAATATTTTTTTCTGCTTTAGGGAAACATGGATGTGATTCCTGGGAAGGAGAGTTTCCCCAAACCCTTTCTAACAAATGAACTGGCCATGGAATACGTCACGCTGCCCCTGGTTTTGTCCTGCTCCTCGTCTGCACTTGAAGGAGCGAAGTCCGCATGCTTGGACGGAAGACCTATCACTGCTGCTCCAGTTTTTCTATCAGCTAAGGTGTTTTTGGTTGCAAGTTACAAAAATCCCTCAGTCAAATTGACTTAAATATTAGAAATGTGTTAATTCGTATAACCGGAAGTCCTGAAGCATTCCGTAAACAGGGTTTCAGGGGACTCACCAGTGTCACCGTAGACCCAGCTTCTTTCCATCTCTCCACTTTGCCAGGATCCAGGCCCTGGCTTAGAGGTCAGGCTGGCAGCACGATGCGTGTAGCAGCTCCAGGTACCACATACAGAAGCCGCAAGGTCCAGTGGCAGGAAGGGGGCTGTCTTAGCACAGGGAGCCTTGCCCAGAAGCCCTCACCCACTGCTGTCATGGAAAGAACTGGGTCCCACGTGCTCACAAACCAGTTCCAGGCAGGGGAGTAGCCATATCATCACTGACTCGGACCCGTGAGGATTGCCCCCTGAACTGGGGGTTACTCTGGAGTCATAAGCAGGATATATAAGTGTGTAAACAGAACTGGGGGCCTGTGAAGAGAGAATAAGGGGGGAATGGATCTTGTGTAGGAAACCAAGACCTCCTGTACTCTCTTCCCAGTATTCCCTGGCAGATGAATTGGTTCAAACTGGCTTGTATAGTTCATACTGGTTTTCTGACTTTGCTACTCTCCACCTTCTCTTAAGGACTTTTGCAAAATCAAGTTTTTCTCCAAGGTAATAGCTCTCTGCTTTCCTGATACATACATACTGAAGCTCACGTTTGCTAAAATTCTTTTTATTTTGTAAGCCTGATTCTAAAGATTATTTTAGGCACAGAATTCCTTTCTCATGTCTCCTTGGTATTTAGTTTATAATAAGTTATTGGGTAATTTCCCACTTCAATCTCAGTTCAAAAAGAATACCTGCTTCTTATTCTAAGGAGCCAGGTCGATGGAACTTTTCACAGATGAGACCCACCCCCTCTGTTTCTGTCTTCCGGAAGACAAGCATTGTCCATCGAGGCTGAGAGAGGTGTTCTGGCTATTGAACAGTGAAACATGAAATTCATGGTTATGTACCTTTAAAGACCACTCTATGTACCTTCTCAACGCTATATACTTTCTTAACTTTCCTTAGGCGTTCATTGCGGTCAAGCCACAACCATCTTGAGAACACAGAAATGGTGCCGCCACCTGGCATCTTCTCCTTGTCCTCGGCAGTTCTCACCCCAGCATTTCTCTCCCCCGCTTGTCAGTAATGCTCGGGGGGAGTAAGAGTTCCACTGACTGCTGGCCTACAGCAGGCCCCAAGTGGCCGATACCTTGTGTTTACAATGAACTTCACTCTCTTCATGAAAATCTGATGTGGGGAGGAAAGTGACCTGGGGCTCCTCTCGTGGGCACTGCCCTGACAACCATTCCGTGATAGGATGTTGATCTGTTTCTTCCTAGAGTTTCTATATTTTTAGTGGATTTATAACCTTTATTCATATCTTTATGCTGCTTCCTTGTCTTCTATTATGTATTCCACATGCACCAGCCAGGGACATGAATATGAAAGGTTTATATAAAGAACATTAGCCCTGGCTAATGTGGCTCAGTAGATTGAGCACAGGCCTGCAAACCAAAGGGTCATTGGTTCAATTCCCAGTCAGGGCACATGCCTGGGTTGTGGGCCAGGTCCCCAGTGGGAGATGCATGAGAGGCAACTACACATTGGTGTTTCTCTACCTCTCTTTCTCTCTTCCTTCCCCTTTCTCTAAAAGTAAATAAATAAAATCTTTTTAAAAATATTTTAAGAAGGAATATTAACATGATTTTTACGTAATATGCAAGCAGTATTAGTAGGTTATATTCCAGGCTTATGATCAAGAAATTTGAGCTATGAAAGGAGACAAATGTGGGTATAGTGGGAAAAGCACCAAGGTTAAAATCAAAAGATCAAGTTTGAGCATTAGCAACTTCTTTGCTGAGTGGCCTTTTGGGGGAATATTTAACTTGTCATGCCCACAGTTCTTTTATAGGAAAGTGAGGCTAATAATACTCATCTCAAGAACAGTTTTGAGAGTATATGAGATCATTGATAATAAAATGCATTGTGAGAAACATGAGACATTATAGGGTATATCTATTAACACAGAGCCTACAAAAACATAATCAGGATATGAAAAGGTGTTTTTAATATTTTAAGAAAACTAAAACAGTTAATGCAGAGAGAAGAAAATTAAATGAGCAGATGGCTTTTTCAGACAAAAATATGCAATTCTGACATCGATGCGCTGCTCACATCCCCTCAGCCCACCCTGGTGGTCAGCTGTGCTTGGGTGAACAATCTGCTTACTTCCCATGACTTCTCACCTTGAGCATCTCTCTGCCTGGGGAGTTAATGCCCTGAGAGCAAATTTCAACCAATAATGGGTAGATACTGATGGATAAGTGGCCCCACTTCCTCGTTCTTTGTTGGGATCATTTCAGATGTGTCTTGCAGTCTCTCGGAGTGTCCACAGTGTTGTGAACCCCAGTTGTTCACATGATAACCTGCACAGTAATGAGGTACCACCTTTTGCTGTCTCCCCCCATTTGTCTTCCTTTACTCTGCTTTCTGTGACCACTCTCCTGATAAAGTGCTTGTACCCAAGTCCTTGTCGCAGAATCTGCTTTTTAATTCAGTTAAGTGGATATGTTTGCCATGGCTCACCTCTTGTCATTGCTTTTCATTGTTCTTTCTTATGAACGAGTCACGGGAAATTGGAGAGTAGGACAGGAAGAAGAAAAGGGGAAAAGAGGTGGGGAAGTGAAAGCTAAGCTCATTTATTTAAGTGAACAAAGATTTCTTAAAAGAGAAGTAACACTTTGAGCTGTGAACAGCACCGGTCAGGAGGCAGAGGTGAGAGGGAGCAGTGTGAGCCACCAGGTGGAAAGGATGGAGGGGAGTGTCGTCATTGTTGGGGCTCCAACGTCCCTTTAGATACAATTTTCCCAAATCTGGACTCTTCTCAGTATTGCCATTCTGGCCCCCACTCTCTGTACTCCCTGAATTCTTCCTTCTTAATCGCTCTTCTCATCCTACAGAGTGACACAATCAAATCTTCAAATTAGAAAAGAGAAAGGAGCTTCAAGCAGAACTGTGCCAAAATGCACAGCTTTCTCTCTAAGTCCTGAACTTGGATGAACTGCCCGTAGACCAGCCCATTATACACCAATGCCAAGGACAGGCTGGGACCTGAGAGGAGCAAGTATGGGGTCGGGGAGGGGACCCAAAGGAGGAATTAGGGAGTAAACACATTCTAAATATTTGCCCAAAATGCTGTCTCCCTCACACTGAATTTCAGCCTAGCATAAGATAAACAATACTAACAGAACTCTTAAGCATTATGCTTTTCTTTCTATTCTTCCTACTCTCTGAAGGATAAAAAGAGACCAGAAATTCACAAAACATTAAACAAATCTGTATTATTTCTTATCTAGGTATTTTAATATCTCGGGGAGAGACCTTCTCAGAGAGTAGCATGAAAAGTAAAGCAACATTCTATCTCCTGGGCAACAGATTTGGGAGCCAGCAGCAAGGGTCGGACATGGCAACTCAGAGCCCTAGGGTCCTGAGGCAAGACCTGCATTCTGCTGCAGAGAACCACCTGCTGTTTGAAAAGCTGTTTCTGGGATACTACAGGGTCCTGGTAGAGACTGATCATTTCACCGTGGGACATCAGGTGTGTGCAACTGGAAGTGTATTCTCAAGTTATCTAGTCATACGGTGAGTTTGCATAGCAGCAATCCATCATAGGATGTAAATGACACATATACTATCAGGACTGAGAAAGTCCAGAGGCACAAGTAAGTTTCATAAACAGGTGACCAGATTCTTATGTCACAACCTTCTGTTGCAACTGTATTGTCTATCAGTCCACACCCAAGGAAGGCCTTGTGAGATGTTCCCTGGGACCACCTGACAAAGGAGGGGAAAAATCCAAGCCTTCTGTAAAGATGACTTGGCTCAATATGGTGGTACAAGTGCAAATGTTCTGCTGTTGCACTGCACTGCATCCTCAGGTAGCCCTGAGAGGCGATGGTGAGGAGGAACTCTCATAGTGCTCTCGGAGCTTAGAACAGGCATTTGAAACAGGGAGGAAGAGCTTGGCTGATATAAGGATATCTACACTCTCCTGTGCAGGGGTGAACTACTGTATTTGCCATGTATAAGGCACACTTTTATTTCCCCAATTTTTGAGGGCAAAATAAGGATGTACATAATGCATGGGAATAATTATTTTATGCCATGGGTATAATAATCCTGTGTATAATGTGCATCAAAATGTGGGTGTGTATTACACATGGCAAAATACAGGTACTTGGCCTACAGACCTAGAATGAGTGGGATTATATAACTTGCATAAAAAGACCTGGGGAAGAGGCACATAGAAATACATGTGTACACCTTTATGTTTCACACTAATGTCTGCTAGAGAGAATCTATCATCATGGAAGTTCTTAAAAATCAGGCAGATAGGACTCTCTTCATTTCAATGTTAGCGAGCTTCTATTCTTGACACCCCAAAGCTAGTGAAATGGACCTATGAACATAGTAGCCTTATTGGAAAGTATGGAGGCTGTGTATGACCCCAAAAGTATTGACTCCTTCTTACCAAGCTAACATAGCTACTATTTCTGCAGAAGTTCTGCTTTGTCCATAGCATAGACCTGTACTCAACATTAGAAAGGGCATAGCCAGGCAAGTTAATGGCAAGTTGATTGATTACATCAGATCACACACACACATGTGGGAGGAAGTGATTCCTCTTTCTAGGAAGCATCTTCTAGTCTACATATGTTCTTGGCTTCCTCGCCCATAGAATGTCTTTCAAGATGATTATCTGAAGGCTCAGTTAGTTTGGACCCACACCCTGCATGGTTGGGAGTTGGCGTATAAGATGTGGTGTGCAGCTGAAAGCTAAGGCGGGGAAGAAGGAATGACACCTCTCACCATCATCCACACTGAACCACTTGCAGAATTTGTTTCCTGTCCTCATGTCCTTCATCTCTGTTAGATTGCAGATCTTGGTTACTGTAGAGGGTAGGAGGGGGAAATGACTTCTAGTCAGGGACACAATAAAGTTTTCACAGAACCAATGAATATGAAAACTGTCTGCTCACACTGGCTGTTCATGCCAGAGGACTAGCAGATAAAGAAGGGCATTTTAAAACATGCTGGCAGGGTAATTAATCAGACCATCATAAACACCTAGGATTGTTGCTTAAAAACAGGAACAAGGAGTATTTTTTTTTCTTACTTTTTTTAGAAGGAGTATTTCTAGATCTCAGAAGACTCACTGGGATCCGCCTGACTCTTCCATGACTAGTGATAGTATTGAATGAAAAATTGTAGCAATCTCAGCCTGACCCGAGCAAGCAAACCAGGAGCCTAGACTCCTCGAGGATGAAGTCCTAGGTCTCTTCACCAAGCAAATAACTTGGGCCAGGGGAGTGCTTTCCAAGGATGAGGAGACTCTAGAATGGGTGGTGGAGAAAGGACCTGATGAATATTAGTTATGGCCTTTGGAGAAGTTGCAACAAGGAACATCTCTTTGCTACACTTAACTCTCTTGGCTTAAGTCATTTTGATAATTATCAGCTAGCCATTAGCTAAAAAAAGCTAGCAACAGAATGGATTTTATGTAGGGCAAAAATAGACTTGAAAATTGAAAGTGATAGACTAGTAGCAGATATTTT